TATATATATATATATATATACATGTATGTATGTATGTATGTATGTATGTATATATGTATATATACTTAGTCCACCTCGATATTTATTTAACGCGATCTATAGGTTGCCTCCTTCTCCTGCGTTCCTACAACGTCGCGCTCATTATCGCCGTGCCGCTTCGGTTCGCCGCTTTTTATCGGAACAGGTGCGCGCGACAAAGTGTACAATATATATTACATGGGCTGTCCGCGAGCGACTCTGTCGCGCTATTTTTAATAACAGATTCTTTCGCGGGGTTTCGCGACGTTGATCCTCCTTTTAACACGCTTCGAAACGAAACGACGTTCTTACGTCGGTAAGGTTTAAGATTAAGCAGGTAATATATATATATATATATATATATATATATATGTATGTATGTATGTATTCGCGGATATATATATATATATATATGCATGTATGTATGTATGTATTCGCGGCGCCAATCAAGGCTCGCGTGCCCGGAAATCTGTCAAGATCGAAAGAAAAAAAAACACCCGAGGCACTTTATCCGTTTGATTTGCCGAGGAATTCAATTCACAGGGATTTCGTTCCCCTTTCTCATCCGAATCTCCTCGTAAGGAAAATAAAAAAATATCGTCGAAAGAAGAATCGACTCTAAATACGAAGCACTGGAACTTTTCAATTAAGTGAATAACCGCGTTGTAGTTTCCAAGGTACACCCTGTATATCAACGACTAAAATATCGGTGACCTAATTAGCATGTACCTTCTATTCTACTCGTAACGTTTTGCACGTATTATACGTTGACTAAGTCGCGAATATCGTCGGGTTGTACAGTCGAGATGCGAAAGAAGGAACGTAATTAATTAATATATAAATATATATATATATATATATATATATATATATAAAAGAACGAAATCAATTCTTCACGACAAGTGTCGGGGCGCGTCATCACCGTCGTCAATTCGGTTCTCCCGTTTTCCCGGCTTTCCTTTTTTCCCCCTCTCTCGTAGAGTACGTCCTTTCACCCCTTTTCTCAATTGTCTACTTACAAACTGTCCCGAACTGTCACGGTCACGCGGTCGCCTGTTCCTTTTTTTTTCCTCAAACGCCCCCGAAAATTCTCCGTTCGCTACCAACGTGCCAACGAGCGAAGCGAATTAGACGTTAATTTACTGGAACACGCTTGTTACCTCCGATTCTCGTGATTCTCATGATCTTTATCACCTGCATCATCGACCGAATGTCGTTGAGCCACGTCGCAATCGTGTATTTACGGTCTCGGATTCAGTCGACGAGTCTTCTTTAACTTTCTCGTCCCTTGCATCTCTCGCGACTTTTCCTTTAACGTGGACAATCCCATTTTCCCCCTCTCCTCCTCCAAATTCTCTAAACGTTCAACGCTTCGTGACACGTGCTAGACGCGCGATTGATAAGGACGAAAGACGGTTTTTTTACGGCAGATCACAGTGCACGTTGCGAAAGACGGCGCTGATTTTCGAAAATCAAGCAGAAAAAGGAACACGATTAATGACAGATTAAGCCATCGGTCGCCCCTCTCTCCCCACGACTGATGTATAATAATAATAATAATAATAATAAAATTATTATATATAATAATAACACTAATAATAATATTAATAATAATAAACCTCGCTCGTATTCCGAAGTATTTAGTATATAACGAATGAACAGTTATGAAACGCTTAGACCATGTCGCGTACTGTGTACGAAGTAAGGTATCGTAAGATTAATACGACGAAATGTTTCCTATATGGCCGCGAGTCTCCGTATTGTGTAAGAAACGGCGCGCGATCCGCTGGATTAGGCCTATAGTTTGATATATATATACATACATACATACATACATACATACATACATACATACATATATACATACATACATACTTACATACGTGTGTGTGTGTGTGTGTGTGTGTGTGCGTGTGCGTGTGTACGTATATATATATAGCTCTGTAATATATTAGATTATGAAACTAGGATTGTAAGGTAGCACGTAATTGTGTCTGAAATTGTGCAACTATAAAGCGCAGAAGAAAAAAAGTGTGCCTGTTGACGCGCGTGTCGATCGATTTAGAAGGGAGGAGGAAAAGGAGAAAAGTGTAGTGTGAGATTGGATGTTCTCGTTCGTTGTAATGTAATACGTAAAATGTGTAAATCGTAAAAGGCGGATACATACATACGGGTGGAAAAGGCCGAGCGCCGGGATCAATGTACATCTGTATCAACGATAGAAAAAGATCGAGGAATAGCGGGGACATGACAGGGAGAACGTTATTTTCCGTCGTCGGCTCGCACGCATGGAGCTGAAAAGGTGCGTGCGTGCGTGCGTGCGTAGATTCCATCAGATTCCCCGTTCGCCGAACCTCCCTCAGACTGAAGCGTAACTCGCTCGTCGCGAAAGTCGCGAAGAGCGTCCACGCGATTATTCCATCGATCCGCAATAATATTTATTTGTATTTATTCGAAACGCGAAAGCAGGTTTTTTTTTTTTTTTTTTTTTTTTTAAGCGACCGCAACTCGAGAGAAGCTACTCACTCATTGGTCGATGTTGATGCATTTTTTTTTGCACTTGAGCAAATATACGAACGTTACGGTGATTCTCAACTCCTGCTGCCACTGATATATCTCACGCCCTTCATACTACCATGATCAATTATCTTTTTTTTTTTTTATCTTTGTCTCATCGGGAGGAATTTGGCGATATATTAGGTGATTTTGCGTCAGATGTTACAGTCCGATGTTTCCCTTACTGTTCTCTTTTTTTTTCTGTCGGAGATACATTTTTATCGTTTATACCTCTTAAAAGTGATTTTTAGAAGGGATTTTTTAAAAAGAAGATCCACGTGAGACACTTTTTTTTAATTACAACAATAACACACGAATAATATGCGGAAGAAGAAATTAGCTATCCATATGATACAACTAAAATTTAGTTACTAGACCTAGTTTCTAGCTAGTAGGAGCTGAAAACTAGGTATAGGGAAAAAGAATTAGCTAAATTTCAGTTGTATTATATGGACAGCGCTAATGTTTAACAGTGGGAACTATTTACTTTTTTTCCGTGCATCGTCCCATGTTTTCTATTTGAAGTTTCCTCGTTAATTTTCGTTCGAAAATACTGCTCCTCTCGTGGCGATTTTTATCTTTAAAAATGAAATCGGACGAACAAGATCTCCAAAACTATATCGTGCTCATTATGTATCACACTTTCCACACATGATTCTTGAAAAATCCTTTAATTACATTTTTTCGCACACCACATTTTTGTGCCGTTGTGCGCTATCGTACCATGCAGATGCACCATTTATTTTCCGCCAGTGTTCAAGTCGACTTACCGTTTTTCTCGCGATAGATAGACGTTACTCGACTGTGCAACCGCTCAATATTACATTGCTCAAGCTCAGACTCAGTCTCATAGTAAGACAGCACCGTAAAAATCGAGCAAATACATTAGGAATCCTGCATTATCTTATACACCGCATCGAGAATACATGCGATCGGAGTCTTTCCACTTCCACGAAAAATTGGGAAAATATTTCGATATTTTCTATTTTACGATCTTTTTATTCTTCTACGGTAGTGAGACATACGGTATTAGATATAGACCGCGTTGCAACTCACCCCCCGAAGTGAATACCCGTTCGAGTCTCTTCGGTTTTAACAACTTTTATCAACCGCGGGTATATTTTTTCGATGTATTCCAATTGTTCCACAGATCGTAGAACGCGAATGTACTTTCTCTCTGTGTATGCCCGAGTTGTGCTAGAGCTTTACAGACGGCTTTATCGGTGAATATTAGCCGCATTTACGAAGTGAAAATGTTCCCGAGTGTTAAAGCGTAAATTTATAGTATGAAAGAGAATATTTTGATAAAGCAAACTCGTATCTCTCTCTCTCTCTCTCTCTCTTTAATTTCTCGTGTTCCGACGGAGGAAATATATAATCCGTGTACAATGACGCTTTATTCCGTTGCGTGCGCGTATACATAGTTATAATTACGCGCGAGTGACACATTAATCAATTTTATTTATATTTATTCTCTTCGATGTATATTTCTTCGATCGTATCATTTAATCCATTAGTATCCCGTGAATCGGTGATATCTCTCTGCAAGTGTTTACGATTTTACGTTATCGCAGTGCGTCGCGGAGGATTTGCTTTTCGAAATATTGCGAATTTATGCTTTGTATATTTCAATAATGTATATTTTTCTGCGAGCCTGCAGATTCAATCGTCGGAATGATTATTTTATGTTTAAAATATTTACAATATCGACACACACACACACACACACACACACACACACACACACACACACACACACACACACACACGTACAAACGAGATAGGTGACGATACAATCACCTGGAAGTTGAAAAAAATAATATTTCTCCTCGTACAAGTTGCTCCATTAGAATCGTACATATTTTATTATCACGCACATTATCCGTTAATAACGTTAATTACGGTATTCGATCGTTCCTACTGCACGCGATCATCAACCCTATCTTTTCATCAGACTGTTTTACGCTTCAAGCGGTACTGCTAATTTCACGCGTCTTTTCCGCGCCTATCACGTAGTTGCCAGCCGTAGAAAGTGCGCGCGCTCGTTTGAATAAACACACGTTTCACTGTTCACTCGCGTTCACATCGCGAGGATATGTAAAATCGTGGAAATTTGTCTTTTTTTTTTCCACCCAGAACGCGCCGAAACGAAAGTCACAAAGAGAGAGCTCCACGAATCGCGAGGTGTCCTTTTCGTTCCGAGTGTCGCCTTCCTCGAGCGTTCGTATCGTTGTTGGACACGAACCACAAGTCATTGCGACCGCAAGCACCGCCGAAAGCACGGTTAATTTGCCGAGTA